AAGCAGACCTGCCACTCCAACACTCCCCGCATTTTCTCAAAGTGCGAATGTAATTAATGTTACTATTAATTACGGTGAGAAAGGAAAGAGCTCAGAAGAACAATAAGAAATATGGTATTAGTACTGTATAGCGCTTATAGCATTTTAATGATCTAGCTGTTTTTTTTTACAATTATAGCTGTATTAATAAGCAAATGTAATTAATAAAAATTAATATCTATATCACTTGTAAAACACGAAACACATTTAAAAAATTTGAAGCAAAATCTTTATTATATTTTTTGTAAAATAAATGTGAGAAAGGGCCGGCCGGCTATGTAAAAAATGAAACTAATAAAAGATATTGCGTAGATCTCATTTAAAGGGAGGAATCACGCCGGCCTTTTGAAAATTTACAGTAGTATAAAACATTAATGGCAAAATTAACTTTAGATATTGCTAAAGAGATTGCACGTAGTAGAGGAGGAGAATGCGTCTCTAAAAGTTATATAAATTGTCAGGTGCCAATGTTTTGGAAATGTGCTAAAGATCATTTATGGTCCGCAAACCTTAATTGTGTGAAGAATAGCAAAACGTGGTGCCCATGGTGTGCAGTTGAAAATCGTCGTACACGAACGATTGAAGATATGAAGAAGTTTGCAGATAGAAAGGGAGGACTTTGCCTTTCAACTGAGTATATTAATAGACGTGATCCTCTTGAATGGCAGTGTAAAAAAGGCCATAAGTGGAAGGCTTCAGCAAAAGATATTCTTAAGGGAACTTGGTGTCGAAGATGCAGTACACTAGGTCAAAACCATATTATACCAGACAAAAAACCTATCCTGATACAAAGACATGATCAAGAAGAGCATGTTACACGTCAACCTATTGACATAGCAAACAGTATTGCACAAGAACGAGGTGGTAAGTGTCTTTCTACAGAATATGTTAATGCAAGTACTCAAATGCTTTGGAAATGTGCCAAAGGTCATGAATGGTCTACAACCCTTTATCGAATAAAAAATATGGGAAGATGGTGCACACAATGTGCTGGCAATCTTCCCTGTGGTCTTTCGGAAGCTAAGGAAATTGCTCATAATAAAGGAGGTATGTGTCTTTCTACGGAATATACAAATCTCTGTGTTCCGATGCAATGGATGTGTAATAAAGGTCATAAATGGTTTGCTAGTTTTAATAGTATTAAGCATGTTAAATCTTGGTGTCCATATTGCTTAAATAAACATGAAAATTTATGTCGCGAAGTCATAACTAACATTCTTGGCCCACCTTCCAGCATCCGACGACCAGATTTCTTGAAAATACCTGAACATCCTCGAGGATTAGAACTTGACATCTATTATCCACAGTATGGATTTGCTATAGAAGTACAAGGTAAACAGTATGAACAACATATAAAGTATTTTCACAAAGATCCAGAAGAATTTAAAAAGCAGTTGATGCGTGATCAGCTCAAAAAAGAACTTTGCGAAGAAAACTGTATTGCCCTAAGGTATGTTTGGTATTACGAAGACCCATATGTAGTTATTCCAGAGCATCTTCGAGAATTGGGTCTTATTGAATAAACTCAAAACTTTAAATGCTCTATGATTGCTACATGTATGCATTGTTTTTCGTAATAGACTTTGTGCATTGAGTATTTTCATAACATTTAATAAAAAATTCTTTAAGTGCTATTTTTTCGTAGCATCATATGAGTACATGTTAAAAAACAAATGTCCTATGTGGTAATTACGAGTGAAAAATAATCTAGCAAGGAATACTTTATTAAAATTAGCACAAAATACATACAATACATAAAATTATGGCATATATTTTTATTATCTATGTACAACATGTCTACAGAGTATATAATGTTAATCACTTGTCTTTTATTGGAGTCTTAGTTGTTTTAGCAAGGCATACAGTATTAGGTGGAGTGGAAGGACGTGAAGGGGGTTGTGTGATTTCTTGTAAGAATGATTCATCCTCAGGTTCATTTTTCATCACTTCAATGCAACGTTGGATTCGCAATTTGGCCTGAAGGATAGATGCAATTGTATGGATGAGCTCCATTACGTCACTTAGATGCAAAGGAATATTTCTCGTTATTTCTTTTTTAAGCCGTAAACAAGAACCACCTCCGAAATCCATCAGGAACTGTTGCAATTGAAGGCGCGAATGCAAAAGGCCGACTATCTCTATTTTTTTGACTATCTCTTCATTATAGTCAACAACACATGACTGTTGATGAAATATATCTTTAAGGAGTTTTGTGAGTTTCAACGAATCGCCTAATTGTTTTCTATCATGTGGACCTTGACATGTTTTCGCGACTTCGATTCCTCCATATTCATAGTTGTTGACTATATTTTGAATAATGCCATCAATTCGATGTCCCAGTGCTTTTCTATTTCCTTTCATCCTGTATATCTCGTCATCATTTCTTCGGTTGCTTGATGCAACACTACACGTCTCACCGCGAACAAGATCTATATCGGGAACATTTAGGAATGCTTTATCAATTAATACACCCCAAATATTGACTGCGTACCACCCCTCCGCATGTGGTTGCATCAATCGATTCTTCGGAGACTCATATTCGTCTAATAAATGTAAAAAAACCATGTGTATGTATTGAAAATCAAAATGATTTTCTCTACTATATGTCGTGTTTAACCATGTTTTCATGACATGTGCTCGCATTTCTGAGGGGGTCTTCTTTTTGTAATTCATCAAATGTGTCCCAATATTCTTGTCAATGGCCGGTACAGTTTTCTTATTAACATTCATAATTTCATCCCACTCAGTTTTGTTAAATAAAACTTTGATATTGTCATCTGATGTATCAATGATAAAGGAATGAGCCGGTTTCTCAACTTGCAATTTCGACGCGTATGCATATAGAACATCTTCCACATTTCTTTTCGAAGATAAACACCATTTTCTTTCCTCCGTAATTTCTTGGAATGATTTTTCAAATGATGGCCAAAATGACTTCAGTTCCTCATTCATATTTTCTAATGCTCCTGTTGTACTCTCACACGATAAATCCTAGTAAAATAATAAAGATGAGTTAGAAATAAAGTGGCGTCAATACCCAATAGCATATCAAACGGTGTATTAGATTCATGCACCTCACGTCGACTACGTTTTTCATTTGACTTGTTGTCATCGTCGTTATCCTGTGATCTCTTTTTACTTGTCGTGTTTTCTAACAGATCTGATAATTTTATCGAAGAATATATTTTTTCCTCTATATGCTTGACTCTCTCGCTAAGTTGCAGATCACAGTAACGATCGTAGAAGTTACGATACCATTCCTCGCCATGTACTAGGACTGATTCTCCTTCAAAAGTACTAAAATTTATTAATTCTTTGCAAAACGAAACTATGCTGCCGGGGCTCTTTTTATTTTTTATGATAATGTTGAGTGAATCAACCCAATCGTTATAAACTGTGGACCAGGTTGGAATTATATTCTCGCTCTCCAAACGATAATTTAGATAATGTTTAAGCTTCCAGTCCTGGGCACTCGTTTTCTTAAAATAATCGTTAACATCTAAATGATCAGGTGCTAAAAAACGCGTGGGGATATTCGATCTTAACGTCGCAGTCATATTTTAACGTGTTCAATTTTAAGGAGGGAACTAAAGAGGGATAATACAGTAGTTTATTATAAAGTCGCGATTATATATCACATGATCAGTCCCACTGGGGTGACAAAAACTTTTAATGTATGGCAGAGACCAAGAAAAATTCCGATATCAAATCACAAATTTTTATCACGATAACACTGAGTAAAAATTCCGGAAATACAAATTACCAATAATTTATTCCGTTGATCCACATTTATGATTGGCTAATTGCACCTGATTAATTGTATTACATATTGGAGGGGTCAAGATTCAATTGTATCCTGTACGACGTATTTTTATACCAACTGCTGAAGGTAATGTAACTATGCTAAAGTTTCTCATGTCTGCCTGTGGCGGTGAGAGCTTCCCTTGTATTTAGGAGAAGCCGTAGCTTCATGTCTGCCAGCCTCTGGCGATGAAGTTATGAGTTACTTGTAACTAACAGCTGTTTGCGTCTGCCAGTCTCTGGCGGTGACGGCTGATTAATTGATTTTGCTGAAGTTTTTCGTGTCTGCCGAAGGCGATGAGAGCTTCCCTTGTATTTAGGAGAAGCCGTAGCTTCATGTCTGCCAGCCTCTGGCGATGAAGTTATGAATCAGTTAATATCCAAGTCATTTCTTTGTAGTTACAGCCCTTATCAGTAAAATTTATAAACGCGATCAGAGTGAAACTTTATTATTAAGAAAAAGAGATAGCAAGTGAAATGTATGATGCTATCAAAGAGGGAGGGAGTACGCGGATCCTAGGCCATTTAATGCGAGTCCCAGTATCAAGTTATTTCTTTGCTCTCTCACATTTATGTAATATCTAACTAATTTTTTCTATCACTATATCTAACTACGAGTTTCTCAACCCATATCTACAGAGTACAGAATGCTCGCCTATCTATATCACTCCCACCCACATAGACTATGTAAAAGATTAAGTTCCATAAGAGAACTTTTCCACGATAACACGATTAATTAATTTCTAGCCTATAGCATCTAAGAATAGAAATAAGTATATGCCCATAATTTTCGATAAAAAATAAATGATATATCACTAATCACTTCATTTCATCCTTACCATGATATTTCATTTTTGTAGCGTTCCACTCCGCCAAATATTTGAGAAATTTGTTGCTCTTGACTTTAGTCAATTAATAAAGAGAATTTTTTATATGATACTGTGAAGTATCAAGAATTCGGCACGTGAAGATGCTTAATTTTACTGCGTCGATGATGCGCATGGAATTGATTAGATAAGATAATATCCCATCACGGGAATTTATTTTTGTGATACTGTGCCAGCTGTACGCGTGATGATGGTCGGTGATTTTCTCGGCGAGGATCAAAATGCCGATATATAACAAGAAGAGCAATATGTCCGTTTTATTTTGGAACATCTATAGAGGCGGGAAAATCGATTAACATCGTAATGACATGTTTAGAGAAACTAGCCGAGCAATAAACCAACTTACTTTATTATTACTTTGCGGAATGTATGGGTCCGGTTGATTGTAAATATTGATGATGCAAATAATGGTATGTTAGATTGGTTTTGATTTTTTCGTTTTACTTGCACAAGGCGGATAAAAGGATTCACTAACCAGGTCATCACCTTTTTATATAATTCACAGAATCGATTTTGTTATACGCTTTTGGGAAAATTACGTTAATATGATCGCATCACGAAAATCTGATCAATGAATTCTCCTTAATTTAACAATAAAAGAATGTAACGCTATCCATATGTGAAGATCATCAAGGGGTCCTTTTACAATAATATACGTAATAATCTTGAGAATATGCGAGAAAGTTTGAGAATAAATTATTTTGCGCAATTTACATATTCCCGTGATGTGTGTGACGTAAATGTTCTAAT